AATTATAGTTTTTTCAAAAAATTATTATTATCATTAATGTATACAAAAATTATAAAAAAATTTCTTATTATAAATAATTTTTATTATATAAAATAATAAATTTTAAAATTATTAAATAATTATAATATAAAATTTATTATTTTTTTGAATTAAATTTTATAAAATAATATATACAAGATCAGTTCTTATACTATGTTAGTGGAACTGACCTTGTTAGTATTCTAGTTTTTAAGAACTCTATTTTTTAAAATATTATTTTAAAATTTTAAATAAAATAAAAAATCCATTATTAAAAAATTTGAAAAAGATTAAATTTTTGAAAATTAGAATAGATCTTTTTATATCATAGTAGTTATAAATTTTTAAAAATATGAAATAAAAGAAAAATGTAATTTGAATAATTTTTAATCACTATATATTTTTAAAAAACTAAAATATTTAGTATAAATGAGTATATTTTATTTTCTCTTAATTTTTATTTTCTTGTTTATATAATTTTAAATTTTATACAGTTTAGAAAATATTAAATATTTTCAGAAAAGTATACAAAAATGACAACTATTAATACATATATATAAGTACTTTAAAATTTTATATATATTTATATATACAAGGTCTCTTAAAATTATGAGACGGCTACCAATAATACTAAATCAAAATTGATTTATTACTAAAATATACATAAATTAATATTATTTTCATTAATATTATATGAATTAGTTTAACAAACAAAGACACCTCTATTAGAGTGTTGTTAAATTAGACATAAAATCTCGCTTGCTGATGTCAAATTTCTCCCAATTCATTACATATACATAAATGATTTCGAAATCTACGAAGTATACATAATATACATTTGATATTATATATGAAAATATAATTATAAATATAATATAGAAAGTGAAAAAGTGGTCTGTATTGTATTGTGGCTGCAAATCGGTGGAAGAGGAAAAATTGAGGTTAGAGAAACTGTTTTCGGTGTTTAAAATATTTATTTTTCTAATTTTAATAGTTGGTAGATTCGAATTAATTAAATATATTTGTGGAATTTGAAAGATATAAATTAAATATTTTTAAAACGATGGAATTCAAGCGATTCATCCTCAAACCAACTTCACTTTGGTTCATCCTAAACCGGTCTATAATCTATGTATATATATTGAGTTCAACGATGAAAATAGTAGATTGTGGTTCGATTCAATTCCCCGGATATATTATTTTTTGTTTTATATTTTTGAAAATTTTATTATTTTTATTTTTATTTTATTTTATTATTATATATATTGTTGAATAGATTTATGACGTATTTTAAAATTTTTGATTTATTTTAGATATAAATACGTTTTAAATTGATTTAGAATGAATTTAAATATGTAAATATAAATTTACTTAAAAAACGATAAAAACAAATAGTTAACAATATCCGGATTCGCATACGATACCCGAAAGTTATTTCATGAATTTTTGAATTTGGATACAATATTTTATAGATTTAAATTCAGATAATAAAATATATAACACGGGTTTATCCAGATTTAGATTTGAATACCCTTAAAATATATCATATATCCGATCCACATCCATCTCTACTATTACATGACATAAATTATTATCATATTTTTAGACATCAATTTAGTTAGAAAATCGATTAGAGGTATATCGATCCTCCTTTGATTTTTTTTTTTTTTAAATTTTGAACATTCTCCTTTTTCAGATGTTGAAATTAATTTTTCTAAAAATTATTAGGGACAAACACAAAAAAAATCACAAACTTTCCAACTTACTCAAATTAAATCCTACACTTTAAATTGCTTAAATAAAATTCTTAACTATAAAAATAAAACAAAAAAGACCATAGATGGAGAAAAATAAACGGACGTTATGTACATACCTATTTTTTATTTTTCTTTTACTTTCTTTAGTTTTTATTTATTTAATTTTCAAATCCTAAAACTCTATTAACCTCCTTACATAATTAGAAACCCTAATTCAGTTGTGTTTCTTTCACATCTGAACCACTTCTTTTTCTATCGCCGAAACCACTTTTTTTTTCTTATCACAAAATTCCAATTTATTTTTATCAAAATTTGGATTGTTCTGAAGGTTTAATTCTCTAATGAGATAAATTCTTAACCCTAATTTTTATTATAACCTAAAATTTATTGTGTATTGTTTGATTATATTAAATATTTGAATCAATGGATTTAGGTTGTATGTGATTATATGGTGTCTATTTGTTTTAAGTGCAGAATATTAGAGTTAGATAATGGCAGTGATGATGAGTTATATATTGAAGCAGTTTTTGGAAATAACGATGATGGTAGAAGTAGAGTATGTCAAAGTGAAATCAGTCATATACAAGGTCGGGATGATGGAGAAGGTGATGGTGATGATGGAGATGGTAATAGTGATAGTAGAGATCATAGTGATGATGAAAAAGAAAGAAGCAATGATGAAATAGATGATGGTTATATGGATTACTCAAGTGATGACGGTAAAAAGGAGCCTTTTCAAGTGGGACAATGTTTTTTAAGCAAAAATTTGTTTAAAAAGGCCGTGGATGATTATGCTATAGATGAAAAGTGTAATTTATATTACAAGAAGTCAACAAGTGACAGAATTGAGGCGAAGTGTGGTATGGAAGGGTGTAAATGGAGGATTTATGCATCTTTGGATAAGGATTCAGGAAGATTTATTGTCAAAACATTTAAAAATGTGCATACGTGTTCTTGGAACTGCAAAATCAGATTGTTGACAGCACGGAAAATTGCCCACTTGATCCTCGATGACCTCAGAGCGGATTCAGATTTAAATGCTCGGAAAATTAAGAAGATGTTATTGTCAAAGTATAGTGTTGTTATCACAAAAACCAAGTGTCAGAAAGCACGTGAAATAGGTCTAAAGATCATAGAAGAAGAGCATGCTGAACAATTTGCGAGGATGTACGACTATGTTCTTGAGCTTCGTCAGTCAAATCCTGGATCAACGGTCATTTTAGGGACTCAAAATGATGTATTTCAAAAATTCTATATCTGCTTTAATGCTTTGAAAGACGGATGGAAGATGTCATGTAGACCAATACTGCATCTTGATGGAACGTTTCTTAGAGGATGGATGAAAGATGAATTATTAACAGCAGTTGGAAGAGACGCGAATGACCAAATGTATCATGTTGCTTGGGCGATTGTTGATGTTGAGAACAAAATTAATTGGGAATGGTTCTTGACACTTTTGGTGGATGATTTGAATTTAGGAGTTGGACAAGGCTTTACAATGGTTTCAGATCAACAAAAAGGACTTATTCAGGCTATGAAAAATATCTTGCCATATGCGGAGCATAGGATATGCGCTAAACACATCTATGAAAATTGGAAGAAGAAACACAAAGGCTCTGAAAATAGGATATCTTTTTGGAAGACAGCTAAAGCATATAATCAAGTCGTGTTTGATAAATGTCTCGAGGATTTAAAGATTTTATCACCAACAGTACATGAAGACCTAATGCGTTATTCTATATTTCATTGGTCCAGGTATATTTCTATTATTCAATCTATATTTAAATTGTCTTTTTATATCTCAATTTTTTTCTATATTGGTTTAATTTGTTATCATTTGTGTAGGTGTTCTTTCACAGAATTTGCAAAGTGTGATGCAGTCGAAAATAACATGGGAGAGGCATTCAACTCTACAATTACAGATGCCCGTGAAAAGCCAATTGTAGAAATGTTAGAAACTATCCGGAGGCAAGTGATAACAAGTAATTTGGCTAAGATGCAAGTTAGCCAAAGTTGGTTTGAGAGAATAACACCAAGAGCTAAAAGTCTTGTCAACAAACAAAAACAACGTGCTACTAAATGCATATCATGTGGCTGTGGAGGAGGGCGTTATGAAGTTGATCATAAGCAGAAAAGTTTTCGAGTTAACATTAGAGGAGATGTTTCATGTAGCTGTCGAGCATATGAGATCAGTGGGATTCCTTGTTGCCATATCATTTCTGCATTATGGGATGATACGATGGGAAATGGGCAACCCGAAGATTTGGTTTCAGATTGGTTTACTACTGATCGTTGGAAAATATGTTATCAGAGTTTGATGCAACCGATTAACGGAATTAATTTATGGTCGCGCTCAAGCATAAAAGTGGAAGCATCTTTAGAAAGGAAAATGCCTGGAAGACCTAAAAAAAAGAAAAGAAGACGCGACCCGTATGAAACCTCAGAAGGCTCTTTATCACATCATGGGAGAGTTATGGTAAGATCTATAAACTATTATTCATCGTTTTTATTTTTTTTATTAACATATATAATTTGTATTATATAGAGATGTAGTCGTTGCCAACAATCTGGACACAACATACGAACTTGTCAGACAACAAATACTAACTTACCTTTACGAAACGAGAAAAGACCGGTAGGACGTCCACGAAAGAATCAGGTATTTTATCTATTCTTTTAATGAATATCTACTGTTGATGTTAAAATTTTATTTATATTAATTAACTGTGATTTAGGTTGAGAAGACAAATACTCGTCTGCAATCACATGGAAATGAATATGAGAAAACAAATTTATTAAGTATGAATCATTCGTGTTATGATGATATTTCGGCGACAATTTCAAACACTATATTTGGGTAAGGTGAATTATTTTTTTGCTTTATTTGTATTAGTAGACTTTGGTAACACTTTTTAAAATGATATTTAATAAAAAAAATTATGTTGTTTGCAGAGAGACAGTTGGAGATGATATATGTTTGGATCAACAGGTGATTGATGACGTGAGAGATAATACAGTTTCTTCAACTTTGTTCAAAGAATGTGAGCGCACCAAATTGAAAGTCTCACGAAGAATTATCTAAATTGAGGATTAGTTACATTTATTTAGTATTCTGTGTTATTGAATACTTTGAAACTATGTCTTTTTCGTTTTCTATTCCAACTTCATTGAATATATTTATACTCTTTGGTATATTTATTTTTATGGAGATCATTTATTTTGATCATAGTTCAATTTTTATATAATTTTGTAGATATATATTTTTGTTATCGAGTATTCTTTAATTGATATGTTATTATTGTGTTTGCGTTGGTATGTTAAGTTCAGTTGAATCATAAAATTATTTTGATATTTATAAATAATTTTTTTGATGTAAATACCAATTTTTAAAAGGTTTGTTAAGTAACAGTAATTTTTTAATTACAATTAAGAGAATTTAATATATAAGACAAATAGAAAATATTTGTGTTTTTTTAAAAACTAACGTCGTTAATATGTTTTTCTGTTTGTGGTCTTTTTTGTTTTATTTTTATAGTTAAGAATTTTATTTAAGCAATTTAAAGTGTAGGATTTAATTTGAGTAAGTTGGAAAGTTTCTGATTTTTTTTGTGTTTGTCCCAAATTATTACTTCAATTTTTAGATATTATTATTATTATTAAAAATAAATTAATATAAAATTATTAAAATCAATCGCATTCTATAATTGATTTTTATCAATAATTTATTAACATATTTATTTTATAAAATTAAAACTCGCTTAAACTTATGATAAAAAAATATTAAATTTATAGTTTTTTCAAAAAATTATTATTATCATTAATGTATACAAAAATTATAAAAAAATTTCTTATTATAAATAATTTTTATTATATAAAATAATAAATTTTAAAATTATTAAATAATTATAATATAAAATTTATTATTTTTTTGAATTAAATTTTATAAAATAATATATACAAGATCAGTTCTTATACTATGTTAGTGGAACTGACCTTGTTAGTATTCTAGTTTTTAAGAACTCTATTTTTTAAAATATTATTTTAAAATTTTAAATAAAATAAAAAATCCATTATTAAAAAATTTGAAAAAGATTAAATTTTTGAAAATTAGAATAGATCTTTTTATATCATAGTAGTTATAAATTTTTAAAAATATGAAATAAAAGAAAAATGTAATTTGAATAATTTTTAATCACTATATATTTTTAAAAAACTAAAATATTTAGTATAAATGAGTATATTTTATTTTCTCTTAATTTTTATTTTCTTGTTTATATAATTTTAAATTTTATACAGTTTAGAAAATATTAAATATTTTCAGAAAAGTATACAAAAATGACAACTATTAATACATATATATAAGTACTTTAAAATTTTATATATATTTATATATACAAGGTCTCTTAAAATTATGAGACGGCTACCAATAATACTAAATCAAAATTGATTTATTACTAAAATATACATAAATTAATATTATTTTCATTAATATTATATGAATTAGTTTAACAAACAAAGACACCTCTATTAGAGTGTTGTTAAATTAGACATAAAATCTCGCTTGCTGATGTCAAATTTCTCCCAATTCATTACATATACATAAATGATTTCGAAATCTACGAAGTATACATAATATACATTTGATATTATATATGAAAATATAATTATAAATATAATATAGAAAGTGAAAAAGTGGTCTGTATTGTATTGTGGCTGCAAATCGGTGGAAGAGGAAAAATTGAGGTTAGAGAAACTGTTTTCGGTGTTTAAAATATTTATTTTTCTAATTTTAATAGTTGGTAGATTCGAATTAATTAAATATATTTGTGGAATTTGAAAGATATAAATTAAATATTTTTAAAACGATGGAATTCAAGCGATTCATCCTCAAACCAACTTCACTTTGGTTCATCCTAAACCGGTCTATAATCTATGTATATATATTGAGTTCAACGATGAAAATAGTAGATTGTGGTTCGATTCAATTCCCCGGTTTAGCTAAATTTTCACACTGAAACGACGTCGTTGATCCGGTGAACAACTTGACAGGAAAAAAAAGTGAAGGGGAAAAAAGTGAAAACCGTCACCTTGAAGCCTTTTAGAACTGTCCAAAAAAATGCGACGTTTGGTGCTGCTTCCATTTTTGTTTGAGCTCTCTCTTTCATCAACATTGTCTTCTTCTTCTCCTTCCTCTCCCACTCGATCGATCAGATTCTTCATCGTTAGAGAGATCCGAACCTTAAATCTTGTAAGTTCCTTTATCTATCTGGTTGTTTCCGGAAAGGATTTCTCTCTCGATTCTCAAGTTTTGATTTCTTTTTTCTCGTTTGAAGCGAGCTCTGATTCTTGTCTGTTCACTGTTTTGCAGATTCGGATCATTTTCGATCTGAAAGAGCGTGTTTCGGAGTGGTTGGAGAGGCGGGAGTTGGAACGGAGCTCAATTTTGGCCGGGGAGGAGGTAGAGAGAAGTCAGCGGAGATGCCGGAGGAGGAGCTGATTGATATCAAATTTAGGTTGTACGATGGTTCGGACATCGGACCGTTCCGGTATTCGGCAGCGTCTACCGTGGATTTTCTCAAGCAGAGGGTTGTCTCTGATTGGCCTAAAGGTAAGTTAGGCGTTCAAAGTGTCACGGTTCGTGTGCTTGATTATGCGCTAGTTATTTTCACAGATCTGCTTGTGGTTTTATTTGCATTCCGTGAAATTACTGTTGTGTTCTTCTTGAATGTTGGAATTCTATTTAGAAGACTGCAAAATTTGAGGTTCTTCTGATGCTTGATCTTGTGACGCCGTGATCTCCGGGTAGTTTCACTGATCAAGTTTTTCCGAAGTTTAAACTGTCCAATTTTGTCAGTGGAATGCTCATGAATTTGAAGATGGTATCTGTCAATTAAGTTACGACATTGCTCTGAGCTGAATTTGTAAAACTTGAATTCAAACTTGAAATACTCTTTCCCATGAAGCACATGGTTTCGATGTTATAGGCAGATGAATTTGTAAAACTTGAAGTCAAACTTGAAATGCTCTTTCCCATGAAGCACATGGTTTCGATGTTATAGGCAGATAACAACATATTGAATAGTTTTGTGGTCTGTGTATAAAATCGAAGTCAGTATGAGTTTCCATTCTTTAGGCAAGTCGGTGGTTCCAAAGGGAATAAATGAGGTCAAGTTAATCAGCTCGGGTAAAATCCTGGAGAACAACAAGACTGTCGGGCAGTGCAAGACGCCATTTGGGGACGTCGCAGGCGGAGTAATCGTGATGCATGTTGTTGTACAGCCATCTCTAACTAAAACTAAAACAGGTATTTGTTCGTCTCTTTTGAATAAATGGCTTTCCTGTCTGCATATCAGAAATGCTTAGTTTCATGGAAACCTAGTGTTGCCCATAACTTCTATGATATTTAGTTTCTTCCAAAAAATATTTCAGCCCTAGTGTATGTATATAAGTATGTGGCATTCCTCAACAGCTCATCTTTCAGATCACAATATCGGTGGTTTCTATTTGAGATTTAAAAAAAAAAAGCAACAGAATTGGTTTTCTTCTTATTTGTTTCTGCCATGAACCTTTACCTCTAATAAGGTCTATCTTGTGTTCAAGCAGTTCATGAAACTGAGGAGTTCTGCTTTGTACAGAATTTGTTGCTTGAACTTTTGTTATGTGCCATCTTTAGAATGCGTTCATGAATTCTGATGGTGAAATTTTGTTATGACTGGGACTCTGAAACAGAGAAGAAAGTCGATAAACCACCCAAGGCGGTTATCTGCACGTGCACCATATTATGAAAGGGCCGAGACATGTCGATCTTTTACCATCATCGCAAGTCTTCGGGTACAAAAACAGAACCGACTGTACGTCCAAATGCAGTGTTCAATGTGTAGAATTAGTTTCGGAAGAGTTTCCAATGTGTTTTCACTTCTCTTTTACCTCCTTTTTTCTTTTTTCTTTTTTCTTTTTAACTGTCGACACTTTCATGGAAGCTGTATAGGTTATCAAGTCTTTGCAACACAGTGTGTGAGGACTCTGTATCTATGGGAAGAAAGAAAGTCTGTATTCGATTATTTCTCATCCTTGGACTTTTTTTTTTTTTTTTTACCATAAGATAACATTTGTCGTTAAATTTTTTCCAGTTTTTGCCTATTGGTACGGTGAATACACCTTTTCTATTTGTGTAATTGGTGTTGGATTTAAATGATTATTTGAAATAATCGTTGATTAATAGTAATATTAATAGTTATATATATTACGAATATGATGGAGTTATATGTTCGGAAATAGTATATTTTGGATTGGTATAATATATGTTCGTTTAGGCAATGAACTAGCTTAATTCGGGTACGGTATAATTCATTTCGGACAAACGTTCTGAATAAAATGAAGTTTCAATGCAGAGAATTTATACGGGCCATGCCAAGCATTTGTTCTGTATTATAACTCATATCGTATCAAATGTAAGGATTGTGTCAAAATTATATGAGAAATTTTTTTTCTATAGAAAATTAATATGATCCACTCTTTTATCTGTTTATTTCTTGTATTGTTTCTCTTTTTTTGTTAGATTAAAAATATCTCGCCCCGTCTTTTTTTCTTTATTTTTATTTACTTTTTAATATTTCTTTTTTAATAAAAACCTATCAATAAAAAAACAACAATCAAATTAAAGATAGTGAACTTTTATAATTTTATTTTAATAATTTTTTATTTTTTATTTGTTTTTATGTTTTGATTCTTTATAAATTTATTATTCTATATATTTATTTAATTTTATATTTGATTTGATTTCTAAATCAATATACAAATTTTTCAAAAATTATTTGTATTGGTATTTCAAAATAGAGACAAAATTTCAATCGATAATATATCAAATTTTCAAATTAGTTTTTCAGTCGTTAAACATATCTTTAAACACATTGATATGATCATTCTAATCCGAGAGATGAAATAATAAAATGCAAATATATGATTAAGGGATTTTGTTTATTACGTGTTCGACTTTCTAAAGAAAATGATAAAAAAATAAATTAACACGATTTAATCCAGCCTAAATCGACGTTAGAACTGTAGAGTTAATGAAAAATAGTAGAATTTAACTGTAATGGTTTATTTTTTATTAGTTTTTGATATTTTATTATATTTAATGACTATTGATCCTAGGAAAAACATTTCTGGATCATTATTTTCATCCTCCTTAGGAATATGACAAAAACTGTAATTTGCATGCAAAATGTGGAAAAAGTTTCAAGAAGATTGGGGGTGCATTAAAAATTCGTATATTTATTTAAAATTTTATAAGTTTTTTTTTATAATATCTGATTTGCCAAGAGTGGAGTTCGAACCTGAGTGGAACACTCTTTGCGCATACCCATTTACCAGTTGAGCCAACCATTCTTGACAGAATTTTATAATTTAGATATTCACCGTAACTTTTTTTATAAAACTTGGGTATTTGTATGTAATTTTTCGACATCTAGAATCAAGGTTGAATTTTTAGAATCTTGTTAAATTACACTTTTTGATTACTTTCGGATTTGAGTTTTCAACTTTTAAAAATTATATATACAGTATGTATTGTTTCGATTTGACTATATGTTATTATTTTAGGGTTTGAGTCTTTACGGAAGATTCTGATTTAGTTTGGTGATTCAAGGACGATAGAAATAATCATGGTATTCATGGATATGATTTTTGTCCAAATGTGTTATTAGCGCAACGTGTGAGCTGCAATTTAAACCGTCAAAGGATGTCTGTTAGTGTGTCTCTTCATCCCCAAAATAATTTTAAAAAAAATCTCACTGTATATGATATTAGCGTATTGTATGTAAAGAGAGAGAGACTTTCATCTTGGGCAAAATGTGTAAGGTATAGTATTTTCATTTTAAAAATCGAAAAGTAAGAAACTAGCAAGAGAGGGAGAAAACGGAGAGAGAGTAAGGGTAACTGTTAGCGTACTGGAAGGAGAGGGACTCGCCGAAAGGCAAAGGGGTGCCTCCGTTGACGAGACAAAGGTCGTAGCGTATGCGCTTGAACACGTTTGGTTTGATGAGTGTCGCTGAACTGAACCATCCGCAGTTGAAGTGTATGTTCCATATCGGACACCCCGTCTCGCATTCGTTCGTTATCTCCACTTTGAACGTTGGGATTCCACTTGGAAGCGGCTCCGTGTTTGCTTGGCTCACCGCTATGTCTGTCCTCCGACATTTCTCTCCTAACTTTTCTGGCTCCTTTCTCCCTTTCGCCTCTGTAATTGAACAAGAAGAGTCTGATTTGAATTATCAGATTACCATAAATTTAACATCTAAATTATATTCCCCAAAGTAATATTGGAGTTTTTTTATTGTGGAAAAATAGAAGAAAAAAGGCATTGGAAAATGTAAAGTTTTTTTTTAGGGAATTATGGGAAAGGCTTAATTGACAACTGGCCCAACCAGGGAGGTTGCCCTGCTCTGTTTAGCAATGCACCTAGGGGCTAGGGATATGCCCTCTTGCCAATCTCATCCACAACCACAAGGTCGGAAATAAAATAAATATTTTCATTTATATATATATATATAGAAAACACATGCATTCATAAAAGCATTTGAAAGAACCAAACGGTGGGTATTTTCACTTTCAATTCCTTAAATATCCTGAGACACCACCGCTAAGAAACAAACGGGGCATAAATGGTATGGTCCTTCAAAAATTCTACACGTAAGTGGGGTCCACCAAAAAAATTAACGAACAAAGAAACAAAAGGAGGCAAGCAGACACAGACGTGCATTACACTGACGCTGCAATCAAAACCCAAAAAAAAAAAAGGTACGTTCCCATCAGGAACGTGTGTGCGCAGAGTCCAGAGACCGAAACAAACATACTATTGCCAGGGAAAATACTCTCGTTTTTGCAAAAGATCAACAAAAATGGAAACCCAAGAATTGCTTCAACGACAAGAAGTCAAAAGAACATCCGCGCAGAAAAAAAAAAGATCATCAGTCAATCAGGATTCAGGTCTGAGATGAAGATGGGCACAGAGAAACATTCATTTACCTGGAGAGAGAAGCAGCAGCTTGCGATGTGGAGGAGAAGAAGATGATGCATCCGTCCTTTGCGTGAAATCCACATCACCTCCATTATCTAACCCTGTTTCAAACCCAAACAGGCTCCATTGTTGAATTTGACTGTTACTCGGAGCGAAATTCGTTAAAGAAAATTCCAGTATATATGTCCAGATTCTCCCGAAACTATGTGTAATATATTGGCAGGAACAAAAAGTTTACCATGATTCTGTACCTGTGGAGAAGACTACGGGGATGCGAACCATGGCGCCAAGGAAAGATAAGACCAGTGTAGCCGCAAGAAGTTGTCTCCGGCTCATCTGCTTAGAGTTTAATCGAAAACGGAGAGACGTCGGGAAAAGGTGATTATGACTCGTCCGAGTGACTCTTGGTGTTAACTCGGTAAAAAAAAAGTAGCTCCGAGGCCGATAGATTCTCCCCCTACTATGGCAGTCCGAATCGGAGGAAAACTATGAGAGATTTTTTGATATCACAAGCATCAGATCATGAACAGTTACAAAATGGAGATGAAGGCGAGATTCGACTCTGATTTGTCGCTCGGAAAAGGTGGAAAATGAAACAAAAAAACTATGGCAGAATCCGCGGGGGGAGAGAGAGAGATACAGAAAGCGAAGTCTAAAGCTAAAAGTGGAGAAAACGACGGCGACATGTATAATGACCTAAACAGTTTCTGGAAAAATTTTCAAAGCAACAGAAAAAAATATCTAAAATAAGGAAAGAAAAACATATCAGCAGAAGAACAGCAGATTGAAATCAAATCAAGGAAAGAAAAGCGATTCTGTGACGGAGAACAATACGATTCTCGACTGAAAATGGAAAAGAAACACTGAGATGTGTGGACCGAGTTTCCCAGAAAATGAACATTCTGACGGAAAACAAACAGAAACTTAGAACGTAGTGCAAACATCAACAGACAGAGAGGAAAACACGAAACAGACAAAGCAAAAGATTATACTGGTAGAGAATCTCAGAAATCGCCAAAAAAAGGCAGTGAAATCAGTAGATAATACGAATAGCATGTTTATCGATTCAAACACCGGTTTTACGTATATGAATGCGCTTATACACATATACATCGTCCATATACGTATAGTTCCATGCATCTTCCAGTAAGTTTTCTCACCTTTTCTCTTCTTCTGATTCTGAGGAAGACGATGAATCTTAGCGTCGAAGACGCAGACGAGCGGGGAAGGAGAAAGGCGGTTTTGGGGCTTTTTTCTGGAGACAGGAACTGATGCCCTTCGATAGAGGGAGAGAGAAAGCAAGAGATGAATATATGGAAAAGGTTACGTTTGGCTAACACAGAGCGGAGACCGTATTTATACCGCATTTGCAGGATTATGATGGCAACTCTACTGTTTATTAATAATAATAATAATTCAAATTGTTAACTGATAACTAGGGTAAATTTACATATTATAAAAAATATATACAAATTTTAGAATTATGTGATTTTTTTTTTATAACTTCAGTAAAACATTTTTAAAGTTTGTTTTATAATTTACGTTGTTTTATGATTATATATATATATATAGCTGTAAATTTTCTTGAATTTTCATGAATATTTTAATGTCAAATACTAGACAGGCATGCCAAAAAAATTTATTTTAACCAAAGCATTAGTCGCTCTCGTTAATTATACTCATCAATGAGCCGGTGATCAGTACATAATTGGCATAGTACTGAAGTGTGATATATATATATATATATATATATAAATTCGGGAAAATAACATATTTACTTTTACAAAAATCTCATCTAAATACCGAACTATAAAACTTTCATATAAATACCTGAACTTTTAAAAATCCTATATAAATACCTAGATTTAAAAAAAAATTCAAATAAAGAAAAATTTCATATATTTTTCAAATAAAAATAGGTGATATTATTAACATATTTTGGGTTTATTTGAGAGATTTTTAGAAGTCTAGGTATTTATATAAAATTTTAAAAAAATTCAGATATTTATGTGAGATTTTTATAAAAATTTAGATATTTATATGCGATTTTTCTTATAAATTTCAAAATTTTCAATATTTATCGTCATATGTAAGATGTAAGACTTTATTATTTTCGCAATGAGAAATTTAATGTTTTATTTATATTCCATTTTTTCGTTAGTTGCGGGTATGATCAAAATATTTCTTTTCTACTTGTCACAAATCTCACGCATACATATATATTAGGAAAAATAATGAAAATTTCAAAAAGCTGAATAAAAGAAAAAAGAAAAAAGCAAACATTGAAACGGAGCTTTGATCTGGAAAAATTGATAAAAGATTTCAATTAACTTGACGAACAAATTATAATGGAAAATTTTAACATATGTTTATTTTCGTATATTTTTGGTGTGAAAAAAAAATCCTGAAATAGTGAAATGGTAATTTACACGTGTAACCTAGAGAGAAGATAACAATAACATAATCTGCACGTCGCGGGTGGGAAGGGAAATGATGGAAGTGTGATTGGATTTATTGTTAAATCCGCACGTGCGAGCAGCAGAAACACACGTGTGTTTTTGCCTTTTGTTTATTTGGTATTAATGTCCTGCATTAATGTATTTCTTAGGAAACTGACCACAGCTAAAATAACAATAAAATGCATTTATTCAATATATATATATATATATATATATATATATATATAC